TGTGTGTGTGTGTGTGTGTGTGTGTGTGTGTGTGTCCCCGTGTGTGAGTCTGTAATTAACAAAAGTGCTCGTATGTGGGTCTGCGAGTGTCTTTTTTTCTCGTTTTTATGTTTTTCGTTTTTTTTAACATATAAGAACTTTGAAAAAATACAAACAAAAATATGGGGTCGTAGATCTCCAAAATATCTACAAGGCTGTATTTTTTATTATTTGTTTCGTTAATGTTTTGCCTGCAAAAACATCTCTGTGAAAAAAAAGAAAAACCCACTCATTTCATGTTTTTTTTTTTTTTTTTTGGTTTATGTTTTCACTTTTTTAAAAATACAAAAAGACTTCAAAAAATAAAATACAAAATACAAGGTTGTAGATCTAAAAAAGATCTACAACCCTGTATTTTTTTTATTTTTTTTTTTGCTTATTTTTTTTTCTGGGGAAAAAAATACTCCCTCGCCCGCTCCGCTCAAGTGCTTTTGAGCGCGGGATTGAGCGGAACTCAAAAATTTGAGCTCCGACCCTGCGCTCAATCAGCGCGAGGTTTCACAGTCCACCCCAATGATCGACGAACCAAACACCAGCATTGTTGTCGTCCACAATTACGAGGACTCGACGGAAGAAACGTCCAAGACACATCGACAAACGACAGAATACCATCCGCTCATGGAAGACAATGAAGCAAGCGCTCTAGATCGATGACGGCGGGACAGGACATGAACATGGTACTTTCATCACAAGAATCAGCCAGGTTGTATCGCGGATTACGTGTGCTTCATTCGCTCTGCTAGAGCATTCCGGAGTGCGATGGCCTCGGTTGTGAAAGTGGAATTGCTAACTGGCTGTGGGGGAAGATGAATCCCCAGATCCACTTGGCACCACACTGCGTTTGCGTCAACCTCCCATAACAGATTCTCGTCGAACTCGATACCAGCATCCCGGAGAATGTTGTGTAGTATGCAGACGACCGTGAACTGCTGCGGCAGAGTGTCTAGGTTGGTCTTGTGCGTCCGCAGGAAGAGCCTTCACATCCCCTTCAACCGCCCGAACGCCCTCTCCACAGCCCCTCTTGCGACCTTCTGCTTCGTGTCGAACCTTTCCTCGTCGGGGGGCTGATTGATTCCGCCGTACGTCACCACTACCCATTCAGAAGGAGGGTACCCGTTGTCGCCCAAGATGTACTATGGCAGGCGGCCTACGAAACAGCGTTCCCTCTTCTGCGCGTTGCGACAGACTAGACAATTGGATCACCCTTATGTCATGGCCGATCCCGGGTTACCCAACGAACACGTTCAGAACGCGCAGATCCAGGTCGATCACGACCTGCGCAACGACGGAGAAACGGTGTTTGCGGTCGAAGTAGTTCTCCCTGGGGGAGTTCGTCGGTGTGTGGACGTAGATGTGTGTGCATTCGACAACGTCGTGACAATTGGGAAAACCCTTCTCCAAAAACGCTAGGAGCATGACATGTTTCTGGAACCCCATAGGCTAGGAAATCTTGCCTGCGTAGGCCCTCAACAACACAGATGTGACATCGCGCACGGCGAGAAGTCCAGAAGCTCGCCCTATGCCAAAAGACGACTTGTTGCTGTCGTATGTCTCCCCCGTAGCCCACCTGTACAACGTGTACGTGACGATCTGCTCCGACTGCAGCGGCTCCCTGTAGAACGTGACCTGCCGTTGTAGATGTGGAGCACAGGCTTCGCTGATCTCCATGAAAACTCGCCTGGAGCGGAGCTTTTCCCGAAAGTAGTCGTCAGTCGCGTCATCGCACACCCGGAAATCCTCCCAAGTGCCTCCTGTTCTCCGCTTTATCGACCAACGTGGCGTCGCCCGAGAAAGCACACCACACCCAATTGCAGCACACAACTAAACCACGGCCTCCGAGGTGGTAATGCAGTCTAGGGCATCCACCACCCTCTGCACCAGAAGCCTCTACCGCCGCCTCGAAAGCGTTACCTTCATGCGCCCTTCTGCCCTCTCGACTTGGTTGCGGATCACCACAGCGAGCGCAGCTGCCGCGACTGTTGTCTTCTCCATCGTGGACAACACGGCTCGACGACCCTCACCGCCACCCTCCATCCCGCCCTTTGTACTGGAAAACGAATGCCCGCCACCTACCGCCACCACCTACGTGACCACAACGATGACACGCCTGCAATTCGCTCTCTGCCACCCCCGCTGAGTGATATCCTCCCCGATGGAATCGTCCGTCCGTCGCCGCCGAAGTGCAGAACCGCCACGCGCAGACACGTGTAGCGAGAATAGACCCTCTCCAGTTTGCCATGTCGACGACACCGCAGACCGTGGCCGTGCGTCGCCACTGAAGTACGAAAGGCAATGGCATCCGGAACCAGTCGCAGAGCCTGTGCGGCGCGCAGTGCACCGTCCAGGACCCGCCCGTGCGCCGCCTCCCAGTCGTCCCGCAGCCCGCGATTTAGAATTCCGAATTTCAAACGGGGTGTTTCCTGCGTTCGCGACTTTCATTTCCAGGGTGCGTGACGCGATGCCGTCGTATGCCTGCTGGACCACGACGACTCCTTGCCGGACATCCCGAATCGAAGGTCGGGCAACCCCCCCCCCCGGCCGTGTATAATCTCATGAAACGGGCCGCGGGAGGGCC